AAAAAAGAAATGGAGGTACACCTACTCCATTCAGCCATCCAGAGACCCAACTTTCATCCATTTTGAGACTCTACTGTAGTCTTCAGATCTTCAGAATTCTCTCCATTCACTGAATAGATGGAGAAAGAAAAGGATTTTCCATTTCTACTCATGTCCCACTGGCAGTATTCAATCATGTGGCCTTATTTGACTGCAAGGGAGGCTGCACATGTGCCCAGGAGAAAGATATTGGCTTGCATATTGGTAAGCATTAGTTAGTCTCTGCCTCAGTTCTTTCTAGCTTCCTTGAATGAGCCCCAGTAAACTTTCTTTTTAGGGAAATAAGTTGAAAACTGGTGCCTTCTCTGACCTTTGGTGGTAATTCCCTAGAACACTTTGTGGAGGGAACTTTGAAGCCAGGTTCAGGATAATTAATGGGGTTCTATGGTTGATTAGCCAAGGATGCTATGGGCATGTGGAGGGACACCTTTTGTGCAAGCTTTTTTTTTTTTAAACTTCTCACTTGTATCTTTCTCAGAATCAAAGTTCAGCCTTCTAGGGGTGTTAAGTTCCAAAGCTGTCCACTCATTGCTCGGTAAAAAGTAGCATGGGACTGGGGGTCATGAGATCTGAGTTTGAGTTACTTCTACAACTTAATAGGTATGCGAACCCAAGTCAGTCTTTTAATCTCCCTGAATCTGAGTTTTCTATCCTACACGTCTACCAGACAACCTGTTTACCTCACAGAAGTATTCTGAGGATCAAATGAGATGTATTTGAAATTGTCTGCAAACTCTAAAGTATAATGTATTCAGAATACATTATAGTAACTATAATTTATGAGTCCTAAATCTCTTTCAAGCTTCAAAGGGTTTTAGTACTTTGAGATGCAATGATTAAGTACTTAGCTACATAAGAACAAAAATTATCATATCTCATCAGAGTCACGGTTCATTAAGCCCAATATTGTCATTGGCAGAGAAACTCAAGGGTAGGTGGAGGGCTGTGGTTGTTGTCCTTGATGCCAACTTCAAAGGACAGTGACAAAACACAATGTGTTTTAATTTCACTAGTAACCAATTATGACTTTATCCTTCATGATTCCATCTAAAATTTCAAAAATTTCTTTGTATTATAGCTTGTTTCCTGTCATTCACTATTTTTGGAATGACTTTTTCTTGTAAATTCTAAGCTTACTTCGTTCATCTCTTTCAGATTTCAAAGGAAAGAAACAGAGTTTTTATAAGGCTTTATGAAGAATAAAAGAAACCAGGTAATCCTGTCTCAGCAGTTGCAATTTCAGGTGTGCTGGAAAAGCTGAATATAATATATCTTTTAGAATGTAATAATAATAGCCACTGAGCACTTACCATATGTCATGGACTTCCTAAATACTCTATATATAAATTATATAACTACCAACTTGCTTTCAGGCAGAGTGACATTTTCATATATGCAAAATGAGACTCAGAGGCTAAGGAACTTGCCCAAGGTCACAGATCTGCTAAGTGAACCTAAGGAAGGAGTCTAACTCTTGAATGAGTGCTCTTATCTACCTGTTATAGTGGCTCCTCCGAGCATCCAACAAGAAGCATTTCTCAGTGTTAAGATGCTACCAAATGCTGACTTGGCATTTACTTCTCAACTTCTGTTTCTGTCCTTCCTTTCTGTGTATCTTAATTGAAAATGTCCCAACAGAGAATCTGATTGAGTTTGTTTGCCACTAGTTACTATGAACATGTCCCTGCGTTGGGTAAGGTTCTCATGATAAATGTCCTTGGCCCTCTCAGATCTAGCTTATGGGGCTGTCTGTGGGGGATACATGGCCCTACTGGTTTTCACAGGATGATAAGGACACATCATGTAAAGCAAAACTTTTCAGAAGACTGTGGGAATGGCAGGCAGCTGAAGATTTTTGAACTTACAAGTCTTGCTCAAAATGCAAAATATTCTCTGCTTACAGTACTTAGAAACTTTGGTCCACATGCTCTCTTACCTTGCTGTTTGTGAAATGACAGAATGCAGGGACCCTTTCTATCCTTGCCTTTTCAGTGTTGAATCCTTTCTCTGATGCTGCTTCTGGTCTTCTCCAGTTCTATATATTTAAATTTATCCAGGTGTAGAAATCAAGACTGAACACAATCTAGTCTGAACCAAGGTTTTAAGAAGAGAAGGTATATATTTTTTCTCTATTATCTTCATGTTGAGGCTACTCAGTAAAGGTCGGGCGAGCGTCGGAGGAAGAGACCACCAAGAGACTGTCTCATGCAACAGCAAGGGGTTTATTGGGGGACCAGCATGCTGGGGCTCAGAGCTCACTTGAATAGAGCAGAGAGAGCCCTGAGAACAGCTTAAGCAGAGCTTATATACTTTTCTTGGAGAGGGCAGGGAGGGAAGTTCATTGATGGGTCAGGGCCAGTGGGCGGTTTGCCTGCAACCGAGTGAGGGAGTGCATTCTGCAGTTTGGCAGTTGGGGACAGCACCTTCTGGGAACAAGATTAGCAAACAGTTCTCAAGATTTCAACAGTGTTTTGTTAAGCATACAGAAAAACGGAGTGACAAGTACCTATCTTATTAACCTTTCAGAGAAGGTATATATTTTTTCTCTATTATCTTCATGTTGAGGCTTCTCAGAACAAGGTCCAATTTCTTTAACATGGATTAAAGCCAATTAAAGCCTGGCTCTCCTGGATCTTTCTAGCAGCATCTATAGACATGTCCCTTGACATGCCCTACATGAGAACCATTCTCAGTTACCTGGATGTGGTAGAATGTACTTTAAAGCCCTCATGCTGTTGTTGACTGTTGAAATGCCATTGATCCGTCTCCCCATGCTTTCATTGTAGTATTAACTACAGTGGTCAGATAATTATGGACTTAAATTCCAAATGTACTTGGGCAAATATTGCTTAACCACTATGAATCTTAGTCTTTCACTTGTCAAGTGGGGATAACCATATTTATGCCCCAGGGATTGACCATTTGACTAGAGAACATGTTTATAAAGGGTAGATTCCAATGCTTGGCAAGGAGTCACACTTGGTAACTGGAAGCTTTCCCTTATATTCCAGAGCCAGCGGGGACACTTCTGCCTTCTCCTTTTCCTTGCTCTTCCATCACCAGTGCCTCCCCCCATTCTCCTACCTCTGTCCCATGCATTGGTTTACTTCTCATATGGCTACCATAACATTTTATATGTAAGTGATGGCAGCGTGTGCCAAGATGTTAACCATTTTTTCCCTCTAGGATATCTTGGTCCTCTATTCAAAACATCAGTGACAGCAGAAAACAAATCACAAGACTGTTCTTAGTTTTTTGTTTTAAAAATCCAGCCTTTTAGGGAATCAGAGAGAAGGCATGAATTTGACCTGGGGTGCAGGTGTAACGCAGGATGGATTGCAAGTGATTAAGGTAGCTATGGTGTAATGGCCAACACTCCAGTCACTGTCAGCCAACTGTCACCAAGGAGGACTTTAGGACTACTACCAATCTCCTACTTTTCAATAGAAAACTTTAAAAATCAGGACAAAAAAAGTGAATATCAAATTTGTTATCACTCATTGAATTTTTGCTTTCAAGTAATTTATTCAATACAAATTTATTCAGGAACAAACAATTGGGTAGAACCCAGGAATATAGAGACAAGAAGGTTCCTGGTGAAGCTCTCTGGAGAACCAGACACATAATCAGAGGATTGTGGTATTGAGTGATAGCAGCGGCAAGCTACAAATTATAAAGCTGAACTTGTCTTAACATGCTCTCCAGGCAATTCTGATACTGCAGAAGTTGGAGACCCACTCTGATGGTGGAAAGAAAAAAGGACTTTGGAGCAGGGAGCCAATGCAACTCAGCCACCCTTGAGATACTATCTTATATAAATCACAATCATAGTCCCTTCCCTGCTAGACTCTAAATAGGGTGCTTTCTGGTAATTCACAAGAATCATATACAAATGTATCTTGTCTCTAAGAAAATTGAAGAACTTTGAGGGCAAGGCTGATTCTTCATTTATTTTTCTTCACTTATTTTCAGATGTCCATCAACACAGTACTTTCACAAGCATTGAAATTTAAGTAGCTAATTCAGAAATAAGTCTAACTTAGTGCAAGGCTTATATATTCACAAATTTTCATAACATCGTGGTCAGACATTCATGAAACTTCCTATTTTCACCATTAAAAATGGTGTATAGTTCAGCAGATTAAGCACATTCACATTGTTGTGTAACATCAACACCATCTAGAACTTTTACCCCTTCCCAGATTGCAACTATCCATTAAGCAATTATTGGTATCTTTTGTTTTTTTCTAATGGGAATTTTTCCTATTGACTTATATTAGTTTATTTTAGGGAGACAAACTTTTTTTAAATACTCTATTCGTGGATACAATATTTTGGAAAATTTTTAATTTTTCATGGAATCATAAAATCATGTTTAAGAAGCCTTTTCATCAAATCCTGTATGATTTGTTGCCATCCCTGAAGTTCTTTGCCAACTCAACGTTAGGAATACATAAGCTTAGTTTCTTCTAGACCTGTTTTTTAACACTGAGATATTTAATTCATATAGGACATATTAAAAGTACACTCAGATGTATTTTTCTCCCAAATGGCTCTGCTGTTCCAATGTCATTTCGTGGATTCCCGCTACTGATTTAAATGTCATCTTTTTATACTACTCCCTCCATGTGCTAGTAATTTACTCCCAGATCACAGGTCTAGTACCTTGGGAACTTACTACTGTCCTGTTATACCTTAATGCCCAAAGGCATCATCACTAATTTAACCGACTCTATTACTAGCCTTTGGGAAGTTTCTCATCCTTCCATAATGCAGTTTTGGGCTTAGTGAAGTAAATTCTCTGCCTCAGTAATTCAGGTTGCGCAAATTATCAGTTCACATTTTTGTTGGTCTCCATTATTGGAGAATTGGCCATATCCTGTAAGCTCGGGTTGAGGATTATTAAGGTAAGACTTCCGACCTACACCAGAGGGCGCAGTTTCCAGGCTCGGCCTCGGTCACATCCGGTTTCCTCCCCAAGTTCAGTCGAGAACAGGCGGAACCTTTCTGACGTGCCTCGGTTGAACGTACGCGGCGGGGACAGTTTAGGCCACCGAGTACCGCTGTTAAGGCGTGCTGCAGTTTGGGGCGGTGCAGGCGTGCGTGAAGGTTTTGTCCGTTTCTTCTTTTGTCGTGACCGACATGGAAGTGCTAGCGGAGGAATTTGGAAACCTGACCCCGGAGCAGCTGGCAGCGCCGATCCCGACTGTAGAGGTAAGTGACGGAGTGTGGCGAGCGGAAGGGGCCGGGAGACATCTGAGGAGGCGTTTCCCGGAGAGCCGTGGTTTCGGAGGGGCGGAATAGCGGCTTCTGCGCATGCTCAGAGGTTCTGCGCATGCTCAGAGGTCCGCGCGTGCGAGCCTTTTTCCCGATCCGGCGTCCGCGTGCCGGTGAAGGGACTGAATCCGGAGCTGTTTGCAGCGTCCGGGCCTGAGAAGCAGTGCGTTTGGTCCTCTGGATGGAGCTCTTACAGTATATGTGTGCATCGGCAAAGATTGGACCTCGCATTCACCCTGGGGGATCAGTTACATCTTCACGGGTTTACAGAGAAGTGCACTGAGGTCCAGGGGCGTTTAGGCTATTTTCATGAAGCCCCTCAGCTGCTGTAGTGGTAAAACCAAGTCGTGTCAACCCAGGGTAGTCATCATTCCTTTTAACCTAGAGTTAAAGTTTGTGCTGCAAGGCACTTTGCAAACGCCCTGAATATTTATCCAAAATGTTTCTTGTTTTCTGAGGGAAAGCCCTATAACTTAATCAGAATTTCAGAGTTAAGGATAACTTTCATACAGCAAGCTGCCCAATGAGGTGCACCTGTTGCCATTTTTATTTTCTGGAATGGCTCTTATTGTAACGGGTTCACCTTGGTGTTTTGACTGTATTCCTTGTGGTTTTGAAAATTACGTGGTTTCTTTTCCCCAATCTTCTTTTCCCTAAACTTCTCCCTGGTTTTCTTTTTCCTAAACTACTACTTCCTGATCTCTCCTCCCTGATCTCATTTTCTCTGAATCACTTCTATAAAAGTTCCATATTCTTGCAGATGGACAGAATCACAGCCTTTGGGACCGGAGTCCTCTGTGTTTTTCCTTTGCTAGCAAAACAATAAACCTTTTTCCTTTTTCACAAAGCTGCGTCCTTGTTATTGGGTTGGCATTAGGGACAAGGATGGAGCTTTCAGCAACATTATCATAGCCTTTTTGACCTTCAAAATCTTCATTGGCTTGGAATGGGAAAGTAGATAGTCCAGGAAGAGATTCCAGGTAACCGGAACAGGGTGCTTGAAACCCCACAGCAAAACCATCAGTTGAGGAACTGAAATAAATCTGGTGGTTCTAGAGTGAATAAAAAGAGGGGAATAAGAAATGAAGGATATGTAAGGGTTCTAATTATGAAATATATTGTTAGACATCTGAAGGAACTTGGACCCTCTCCCTGGAAGCTATAGAGCATTTAAAGGGTTTAAACGGGAAAGCAACATGATCAGTGATTCTGTTGCATTTGGAGCTGGGGGTATGAGTGTGAGTGGGGTGGGAGCTCAGCAAGCACTGAATTCTAAGAACCTCTTTATAATTATTCGAAGCTTAATAAAGTTGGTTAATGATCATTCCATCAGATTGAATCTGAGTGCCTACAGCACACTGTTATCTGTCATTAGGCAATACTGGATTTTAATTTTGCTGTTACTGATCCCCTACAATGTGTCAGTCTCTGTTTAGCCATAATATGTATTATATTATTTAATCTTTTTAAGTGCTGTTTTTACTTGTTTTACTAGTGTTCTACAGTAGTTAGATAAATAGTCCAGTGTTAAAAGGCTGGTAACTGGCTGATGTAGAATTTGGTCTTGGTCAGCCTGACTCCAGAGTCTTCATAGTTCACTGCTAACTAGACTGAGGAAATAAGCCTGGTAAGTTTGTATTTCTTGACTGAACTTGCAAACTACCAGTACCACAATTCCTTTTTTCTTATTTAGGAATAATAACTCTGTTTCCTGCATCCAATCCATATTACATCTTAAGAGTTCTGTTTTCTAAATATATACAAATCAGAAATTTCATTCCTGTGACTGTCCCAGAAGACATTAGATTTCCTTGCTGTCTGCTGCCATGGGAATCCCATCCATCCATCCTTCGTTCCTTCCTTTCTTTTTTTCAGAGTAACAGACATAAGTTTATTGAAGGGATAAGAAGGGGAAAGGGGACACTCTTGAGGGAGAGAATGGGTCCTCTCAGGAGAAGAACCTCCTATTGTTTCTTAACACTAATGGTTTCTTGTTTTTCTTCCTGTCAGAATTTTCCTTATCTTAGTCTGTGCTGTGCCCTCAGTTCTTAATGTTCTTATTGAGTGAATGAATATGTGAATAACTTTTTATTGCCTTTGACAAATTAGAAGTATTTGGCTAGAATGGCATTTTTAAGTGACACTTTACTGTTTTTTTAATAGGATTTTTTTTCATTTTTTTTAACAGAGAGAGGGAGAGAGAGAGAGAATTTTTTAATATTTATTTTTCAGTTTTCGGCAGACACAACATCTTTGTTTGTATGTGGTGCTGAGGATCGAACCTGGGCCGCACGCATGCCAGGCGAGCACGCTACTGCTTGAGCCACTTTACTGATTTTTTAAAAAAATTTTTTATTTATTTATTTTTAGTTGCAAATGGACAATATGCTTTATTTTGTTTGTTTATTTTATGTGGTGCTAAGGATTGAACTCAGTGCCTCGTGTGTGCTAAGCAAGCACTCTGCCACTGAGCTACAGCCCCAGCTCCACTTTATTGATTTTATACTGCTGAATATTATCTTTGCATTTAATTTAATTTGGGGCATACTGAGTTTGAGTGGCCTCTGAATCCGTAAGATGTCTGTGTCCAGTCAGTAGAGTGCACAGGTCAATATCCATCACCAAAGCACTGATATTCACTTAATATCGTTCATTTATTCATTCAGTATTTATTGAGGGTCTTTTCCATGCCAGGCTCAATGCTTAACAAGGTAGGTAGATAGAGCCACTGCCCTTGGAAGAATTTACATTTGGAGCTGGGGGAAGGAGTGTAAGGTCGGGTGGGGAAGCTCAACAAATGTGTGAGATCTTGCATGTCCAGCCGTACTTGAGAAGGAGGAAGGATTCTCCAGGGGTCGAACTCTGACCAAACACCTTGACAAATACCACATGTGCAGGGTAGGCAGAGGAAAGCGTAGGAAGAGGCCCAGTAGGGAGGAAAGAGGTCAGAGAAGGAGGTGTCGCAGAAGGCTGTGGTCAGTATGGCTGTGGAGGGTCTGAAGGGAGTGAGTGCCCTTGGAGTTGGTACCTCTGTCAGCCTCCTTGCAGGCAGCTGAGTCAGAATCTGGCAGCCCTGGGATACAGGAGTGGGAAGAGAGGGAGAGTAGCTCGGCGTAGACTGTTCAGGAAGCGGTAGCTGAAAGGAAGAAAGTAAGGGAGAGGCTGCTGGGCCAAGGGAGGTTTTGTTTTTAAATGGAAATATGTAACAGTGCCATGATTTTAAAGAACACATCAATAAAAATATATAGGCTGAGTATCCAGGAGTGGGGGGAACAGAAATGGGATGAGGTTTCCTATCTTCTGGAGGAGATTGGAAGACAATAGTTGTGGCAGATCATCAGCCTCTGACCAATGATTTGGCTTTGGGATGTGAGGAAGTGGGTATGAGATTGGGTGGAGGGTGGGGTGGGGGAGGAATTTGAGATGTGGGAATAGGAACATGAGGGACTGGATTAATTTGTAGGATTGCTATAACAGAGTCCCACAGAAGCATAGCTTGAGCAACTGAAATTTAATTTCTCACAGTTCTGGAGACCTGAAGTCATAGCAGAGTTGATTCCTTTTGTAGTCTGGGTGGAGAATCTGTTCCATGCCTCTCATCTAGCCTCCGGTAGTTTGCTGGCAATCTTTGGATCCCTGGCTTGTAGAAACTTTGTCCTGATCTCTGCCTTCATCTTCACATGATACTGTCCTTAGTCATGTCTCCTTTGTGGAGATCAGCCAAGTTGAATTAGGTCTCACCCTAGTGACCTCATCTGAACTATTACATCTGTAACAACCGAATTTCTAAATAAAACTCACATTCTGAGGTACTAGGGGTTAGAATTCAACATAAGGATTTTAGGAGGACACGATTCATCTTTTGTTAGTTGTGAGTCTCTTCCTTGTTCTTTTTAATATTTACATATAATTTATTATTAAGTCTTCAATTACATTAGTTTTGATAATTACTCAAATAACTATTGTCCAATACATGTTATAGAACAGTTCCATTAACCTATGATCCTTTTCTATTCTTCCCCCCACCCTGTCAACTTTTGAGTTCTTTCATTATAGATTGGTTTGGCTGACTCCTTTTTTTCTTCTTTTCTTTGGTACCAGGAATTGAACCCAGGGGCATTTAACCACTGAACCACATCCCCAAACCTTTTTTTTTAAATTTTGAAATATGGTCTTGCCAGGGTGTGTAGGGCTTCACTAAGTTGCAGGGGCTGACTTTGAACTTGTGGTCCTCAGTATGATTACAGACGTGTAACAATATGCTCGGCCTGGCTGACTCCTTTCTTAAAAATGTTTCTACCATCTTCGGTTTGTCTGCTTCCCCTGCTGGCCACTCCTCAGTCTCCATGGTTGGGTCTACTTACTCTTTTCATCTGTAGATGTTGGAGTGTTCTTGTTCTCACTTTGTGGAGCTCCTTTCCATTTCCACTCTTATGGTTTTAATTACAACCTGTTTGCTAATCTATCCTTAACTTACACCTCCAGACTGACTACTCTGCTCCCAAATTCAGACCATGCGTTGCCTACTCCATGTTTCACTGGAATGTGTGATGCATATCTCAAACCAAATTTCCCCCTAACCAAACTCCCATTGCTTCTCCACAACTAAGCCTGCTGCTCTTGCAAGGTTCCCTGTATCCTCGACTCCATCAGTAGCTCTAGTCTGGTGGCCCTGTTCCTCCATCTGCTCAGGCCAGAAAACAAGGTATTGATTTTGACTCCATTTTATCGAGTCCTGTTGGCTGTAACTGAAAGCTTGTCTCCAAACTAATAATTACTCACTACTTGTTGTTACCAGGTTGGATTGTGGCAATCAGACACCAAGTGATCTTCTTGCTTTTAATCTTGCTTATTCTTAAACTGGTAGCAGGAGTGATCAGTTAAGGTGAACCAGATCATCACTCTTCTGCTCAGAGCCTTCCAGTGCGTCTCAGGTCACCAGAGTGAAAGCCAGATTTTGCTCTGAGGTTCTACATGATCCTTCCTCAGGAATTGTGTAGTGTGACCTTAGACTCAACTGTAACCATATGTCAGCATTTCCATTAACAAATAAGATGCCATATGTGAAAAGAGACTATCATGGTAAGCAATAGTCCAGTGCCCCAAAACTCAAGAAGCGTGACGGTTAGAATCATTTACTAGAGAAGCAAATGCCATATGTGCCACCCTTCCACATCCTTGAGGTGTGCTCTAACCTGGCACCAGTGCAGAGAGAATGGGAGGGAGAAAGGAAGACTCCCTTTGAGGCCTGCGACCCACTCCCCCACCAGCTTCTAAAACTTACTATTCCTTTCTCAAACAAGCCAACCTCATTTACTAAGGAAGTATCATGAGAATAAAGTGTGAAAAATATTTGGAATCTTGAGTCATCAGGAAGAGATTAAATGTTAGTATGTTTAGGCCATCTATGATATATATTTATGTGTATATACATACATTTGAATGCATGTATGTGTATACACACACACTATTTCCATAAAAGGGGTTATAATTTTAAAATCTTTTTGTTTTGCTTTGTTTTGCTCACTGTGATAAAGTTTTTATAACTTCATATGAAAGTATTATGGTGCTGGCATAGAGTTCTGATATTCTTTTTGTTTGGTTCACAGGAAAAATGGAGGCTGCTTCCAGCATTTTTAAAGGTAATTGTTTAACATTTAATAATTGGTTATATTTCACATGTTAAAAAAAAAGTTAAAAAGCACCATTTTTAAGATTGAATTTTTATTGCCAACTATCATGTTTTTACTTTGTATAATTGTGTGCTTTGCTAGATTTTGCCAATACAGGGAATTATAACTTTTTTTTTTTAAGTGGTAGTCCTGGGAATTGAACCCAGGGGTGCTTTACCACTGAGCTACATCCCTAATCCTTTTTGTTTTTAGAGACAAGGTCTTGCTACATTTTCCAGGCTGGACTCAAACTTGCGGTACTCTTGCCTCTCCCAAGTCTCTGGGATTATAGGCATGTGCTACTCCACCCATCTGGCTAATAGGAGGAATTTTAAGATAAAATCACTCCCCTTATCGTGCTGGTTGGGCGGGGGTGAATGTGGATTTGAGGGGTGGTAATCTAATTTTACAGAGAAGAAACAGTATATTTAGAAGCATGGCACATGCATAATTAGAAATAAAATACTGTTGGTAAGAGGGATGTTACAGGTGGTCAGAGATGCCCACCCAGACATAAACTGGATTTTAAGCGTAAAGAGTTGAACTAAGATGAAAACGATGCAGAAAGTATGGCTTACTCAGAGTGCTTAAGAGGAGCCTCCACAGCATCTGTGAGAAACAGAGACTAGTCTGTTTGGCTGGAATGAATGGGTAGATAGTCAGAGGAGCTGTTGAGTTTAATATAATATGGTGTAGGGCTTCAGTTTGAGAGGACTTATGTTTAGTAGTAGGTATCTTAGTGAGAGTCCACTTGTTACCCACGAGGGTGGCTATAATCAAAAGTCAAGACAATATGGGGACATTAGAATCTTTATGTGCTATAGGGAGAATGCACGATGTTGCAGCTGCAGCATTTTTGGTAAACAGCCCAGCAGTTCCTTGAATGGTTAAACCAATTTACCTTATAATCTAGAATTCTGCTCCTGGGTATCTAGCCAAGAAAAATGCAAACAAAAGTCCACCCAAAAACTTTTATATAAATGCCAGCATTATTTATAAGCGCCAAAAAGGAGAAAAACTACAAAGGAACATCAACCAATGATAAGATTTCTTAAATGTGCTGTAGTCATACAATGGGGTATTACATGGCAATTAAGAAAGATCAAGTACTGATACATATTACATCCTGAAGGAATCTTGGAAGCATTATAAGTGAAAGAGTGGAGACTTAAAAATAAGCAGTTTTGTTCAGTTAAGTCAGTATCACAGGCCAAAGAGAGAGGCTGGAGAAGTTGTCAGGGCCTGAAATCTGATCAAACGTAAAAGCCATGGTAAGAATTTGGCTTTTAAAAGTCATAAGAAGCTAATGAAGAGTTTTTAATAGAGGAGTGACCATGCATGAAATAAAATGGTAGTGAGGTCAAGGGAAGGTTGTTTTTTGTTTTAGTTTGTTTTTAAGGAACTGTATATAAGCAAAGAAGAGGAGTGGTATTTATGATTCAAAAGAGGAAAAGAACTGATGGCATATAGTCCAAGAAAAGGTGGAGAACTCACTAGAGATGTAAGATTGTGGTTATTGTATTTCTTCATTTAAGTTGGGGTTCTCCAGTAAGGAGGTGCCTCATAAAAATAAAAATAGATCTACCATGTGATCAGTTATCCCATTGTGGGTGTCTATCCAAAGGAAATGAAATTAGCATATCAAAGAGATACCTGCATGCCTGTGTTTGTTGCAGCACTATTTACAGTAACCAAGATGTGGATCAACCTAGGTGTCTATCACTGGATGAATTGATTAGGAAAATGTGGTATATGTACACAGTGCAACATTGTTCAGCTGCAAAAAGAATGAAATTCTGTTGTTTATGTCAAAAAGCATGGAACTCAAGGACATTATTTTAAGTTAAATAAGACATACAAAGAAAAACAAATGCCATATGTTCTCTCTCAAATACCATATGTTCTTTCTTATAAACTAAAGAGTTATTTCAAGGTAGAAAAGAGTAGAATAGTAATTCCTAGAGGCTAGAAGAGTGGTGGGCAATGGAGATGGAGGTTGGATAATGGGTACCAAAACACAGAGAGGAGAAATGAGTTCTGGTGTTCTCCAGTGTAGTTGAATGACTGTAGTTCACAAGTCTGCTGTATTTTAAGAAGTAGAGGAAGGCCCAAGGCCTCGCACACAAGGTAATGATAAGGAGAGGGAAAGCTAGTCCGTCAACTGAAGGACTAGCTTTCCCTCTCCTTATCATTACCTTGTGTGCACATGTTGTACACATTGTGTGCACATGTTGAGATATCACACTGTAACCTGTAAGCATGTAGAATTGTGTGAATTTAAAAGAAAAAAATTAGAAAACAGAAAAAGTAAAGCTAGGTTTCTCTACTCAGACCACCTTGGAATGTATTTGTTCATGAACAGAAATTTAAAGATTTTAATATGTAACTAAATATTAATTCAAAGAATACAAAACTTGTAGTTTTCCAGAAGGTGCTGTTTTTGGCTGACAGCATCAGCACTCAGAAGTCTTTTTTTTGCCTGGAGTGACAGTGGTAAAGAGGGGCAGGTGTAAATACCTGTACTTATACGTTTTGCATAAGTACCAAATGGTGTGTGCTTGACTTGAGAGCATTTTTCTTTTTTGGTGAGGATACCAATCACCTTTTGGGTTTTGGTTGACTTTCAGCTCACCATGAGCCAGAAATGTGAGCTGGTTTCCATAACAGAACTGTAATATTCAGTATGAGGGAGTATACCAGTCAGATTGTTGAGCATGCTGCCAGGGAGCAGCATTCAGGTGCCCATGCTAGGAGGAGTGTTGGCAATCTGGAGTATGGGCAGAGCAGGCCACTGCAGCTGGAGGTTCTGAAAGGCATGCATGTGAGAGGTAGTTGAAGGGTCTGGTCTACTTAGAAGTGAGACCCTGAGAGAGAGGTGAGGAACAAACAGACGATCCTTCCTAGAGAGGACATGGAAATTGAGGGGCATAATCATCTCTTTAAGAGAAAGTTAAGTCTAAGGGGTAGAAATAAGGAAGAAAGACCTCATATCATTATAAAGTTGAGGTTTTTTTCTCTGAAATTAGGACTGTTTCAAAATGGAATGGTTGCTTTGTAAACTAATGAGCACCCTAATAAAGGAATTACAATTAAAACAGGTTCTCTAGTTGTGTCTATTAAGAATATTCTAGAATTGTTGAATGGTATGTTTGAAGATTAATGTAAAAAATGAATATGCGTAGCCCTTTTAAACGCTGAGATTTTAGAGTCTTATGTGTTTATTTTGTCTTGTCCATAGCAGTACATAAGCTGTCATTATACAGTTGATGCTGACTGACTTCTGAGACAAAATAGACTGCTGACTTGTGTCTGATCTTAGGTTCCCTAGGTTTCACCTCCCCTTTTGATTTTAAATGCAATTATTTTCATCTTTCTTAATATTGTGATCCTCCCTTATTCTTCTGTAAGATGGTATGAATGATTAGGGATTTATGAAAACGGGATCTATTTTTCATGATCCCTGATCAAAAGTCAGAATTACAACAAATTAAAAGATCTAATGGACTTTAAGTTGGGATGTTAGAATGGGACAGTACCTCATGCTATAAAATCTACATATTCCAGCTGAGCTGAGCAGAGGAGGTGGGCTTTATAGGCAGAAAAGGTCTGGAGAAGGCAGAAAGAGGTAGCAAAAATTGGATTGGCCTTTTCAAAGTTATTTCCTTATAGAATTAAAACAGGGGATTTCCCTGTCATTCTGGTTCAGTTAAACTAATCTCCTTGTGACTAATTGCTGTCAATCGCCTATTTGGGGGAAACTGGCCCCTTTCAATGTTAGTTTGATTACATGGCCCTTAGCACAAGTGACTCCATTTTGGTTTGATCTGGTCTACTGGGACCTAATACAGGAGGCTAGTACAACAAAGAAAATAGACGTTGAGGCTTGAAGAAATGATGCTCAATTGCTATGTTCTCTGCCCCTCCTTGGATTTATTAGCTTCTGGGAAGTCAGTAGGTATATTTAAATACTCATATCTTGAATTCCAAAGGTCAGTTTGCTTCTTTTTTTAATATTTATTTTTTAAGATTTAGCAGTACACAATATTTTATTTTGATATGGTGTTGAGGATCGAACCCAGTGCCTCATACATGCTTGGAGAACTCTATCACTGAGTTATAACCCCAGCCCTCAGATTGCTTCTTAAGGAGGAAAATTTGAGAGTGTACTAAGATGGTAGAGAAAAGTAATGACACATTAATGAAAAGTTTTGCTTCATCAAATTCATGGATATTTTCTTTGCTTTGGTTTTGAGAAAAATTTGATCATCATGTTTGGTTAGAGTGAATTATATAATCTATTATTTTATTAATGACCTACTTTGTATTTTCTGTCTGTTTAGGTGAAAGGCCTTGTGAAACAGCACATAGACTCATTTAACTATTTCATTAATGTAGAGGTAAGCATCAGATCTTAGACACAGACATAAGCTAAAATTTAGTTGGAAGCCAGAGCCCAGTTCCTAATGTTGCGCTTTCTACTGCAGATAAAGAAGATAATGAAAGCTAATGAAAAAGTTACAAGTGATGCTGACCCCATGTGGTACTTAAAGTAAGGAACCAACTATGAGTATACTATTTTGATTTGTTGAACATTTTTTAAAGTGAATGTAGTTGCTGTCGAAACTTTTTTTTGTGTGTGTGTGGTGCTGGGGATTGAACTCAGGGTCTTGTGCATGCGAGGCAAGCACTTTACCAACTGAGCTATATCCCCAGCCCATGTTGTCAAAACTTTTATAAAATTATTATTTTTTAAAAATATTTATTCTTTTAGTTTTGTTTTATTTATTTATTTTTATGTGACGCTGAGGATCGAACCCTGGGGCTTCGCACATGGTAGGCTAGCACTCTAGCCCTGAGCCACAACCCCAGCCCCATAAAATTATTTTTCAGTCCCTTTAATAAGGTATATAAACTGCTCAAGTTTAATTTTGTTTAATGTATTAGCTCTCTTTTTTAATACCTTTATTTGTTTATTTTTAATGTGGTGTCAAGGATCGAACCCAGTACCTCACATGTGCGAGACAAGCACTCTACCACTGAGCCACAACCCCAGCCCCTGAAGTTTAATTTTTAGTTGGCAGACTAATTAAACAAGTAGAGTTATGATTGAGAAGTTACTAAGACTGTTTATATTTTAACTATTTTATACAAACTTTTATTTTAGTAATAATTTTATAATGATAAATAATAATTTTAAATAAATTTTAATAATTTATAATGAATTTTTAATAATTTAAAATAAGTTTTTAATAAATTTTTAATAATGTTATAATAGAAAACTTGCAAAAATAGTATGGAGTTCCCATGTATTCTTTACCCGGCTTCCATTAATACATCTTACATAACCATAGTGCAATTAATTAAAAAAAATTTTTTTTGGTAGTTGTAGATGGACAGAATGCCTTTATTATATTTATTTTTATGGGGTGGTAAGATCAAACCCAGTGCTTAACATGTGCTAGGCAAGTGCTCTACCATTGAGCTACAGACCCAGCCCCCATGGTGCAGTTATTAAAACCAGAAAGTTAGCATCCATTCAGTGCTACCAAATAGTCTGTGTGCCTTATTTGATTTTTTTCTCACCAATGTCCTATTTCCGGGCAGGAATCAATCTGGAGCCCTTTGTTACATTTAATTGTCTTGTCTCTTCAGTCTGCAATAGTCTTGGTGTTTTTTGACCTTGACGCTTTTGAACAGTCTGGTCAGTGTTTGCAGAAAGTCCTTTAACTTTTGGTTTTGTTTGATACTTGCTCATGATTAGATCAGTTATGCATATTCTTTTTTTTTGCAATGTCACAGAAGCAATGTTTGTGCAATTTTCACCAATTCATATCTGGATACAGATGTCAGTATATTTTATTACTGATTTTAACTTTGTTCACTTGTTAAGTGGTATCTTCCTAGTTTGTCTACTATAAAGTTACTGCTTTTCTTTTTGTAATTAGTGTCTTATGGGAAGATCCTTTGAAACAATGCAGATATCTTATTTCTCATCATACTTTCCTAATTTTAGTATATATTGATGGTTTGTAAGACTAACCATAACAGTTATTATTGTAGTGTAATGGTGAATGTGAATCTCTGTTTCCATCATTTCATCTGCTTTCCCTTTCCTCATTTATCTTCCTGTGTAGTAACTGATATAAATTTGGACTCATGGATATTTGTTTTATTCCCTTGGTCTAATCCAGTACTCTCATGCTGTTGCTCACTCTGACTCAGCTTTGGCCATAGCACATCCTTCAAGGTGACTTCTTGCCCCATTGTCTCTGATACCATTCCAACACTACAGACTAACTTTCTCTCTTTCCTTATTTGTAACTTCTGTCTCAGTAAGAAATATTATGTACAATTTTTTGATTTTTTTAAAATCATAGACTATACATAAAGTAACTTACAATTATTAACTCATACCTCTGTGAGATAGGCTCCACCACGCGGCCTGCGCAATGGTTTCATTAATGAGGTTCTAAGCATAAAGTTAGCTAGCAGAGATCGAAATAAAACACACAGACTCAGTTACCTTATTTCTATTGCCAGGTCCTAGTCGGCTCCCCTCTCTGGTTCCCTCCTCTAACCGCCCAGCAGGGCAGCAAGGATTACTCAGGGCTAGCAGGAGAGAGAGAGTGAACACGCCTGGGAGTAGCTTTTTATTGGGGAACAAGAGATTCAGGGGAGAATTTCATCCAATGAAGGTTGAGGGGGGACTGCACTCCAAGGTCAGAGTCAGTGATTGGGCCCCCAGGGTCAGTGGTCAGGCACACCCCTACACAGATGGGCTCTCTCATCAGGAAAGGGCTGGGGAAGCTCCGACACAGCCAGAGCGCCTCAGGCCCTTAACGGGAGCCACCCAATCGTGTCAGAAATGGCTTCCCACAATAGGCTCCATTTTGCAGGTTGTCTTTTTTGTTTTGAGGTTTAAAGTGGCCAATCAAAATGCTGTTTTTTAGATTCTTTTCTTTCCCACCTTTCAGTATAGTTATGCTCTTTGATGATACAATTAGATTTGTATTCTATTTTGGGTTCCCCTACATCCATGTTGATTTTACTTATGCTTTTTGGGGGGAGATTGTGTGAATGAACCATTGTTATGATGATGAGTTAGCCTCTACAAAATGTGTCTTCAAAAAATTGGTGCTTCCCTTCCATTTCCCACACACTCCCTGTAGGCCTCCTTGCTTTATCCTTCCCATGTTTCTTTTTCATCGATGAGCATATATTTTCCCCTCTTATGTCCTCCTTATTTGAATGATAGCATATCATAGATACCCTTTTTGTACTTTGCTTTTTTCATTGTGTATCATTCTTATGGAGCTATATTTTCAGTATTTGTATAAAGAGATTTACAATTTTTTAAAAGATATTTTGATAGTATTTTCTTTCATTTGTAAAACTACATGTACTATCACTTCAAAAAAATGTTCAATTATAATTTTTAATTTGTTACCCTTTGCAAAGTAATGATTTGTCAAAGCAGAATTCTTATATTTGGGAGGAAAATAGCTTCTTTTTTTAAAAAATGTGTTTTTTGAAGAAAGAAAATATATAATGGAATAATCTGCTTTTCAGATATCTTAATATCTATGTTGGGCTTCCTGATGTTGAAGAAAGCTTCAATGTAACTAGACCAGTGTCTCCCCATGAGGTAATTATAAACATTATTTTATTTATTTATTTATTTATTTTATTATTAGTTGTTCAAAACTTACAAAGCTCTTGACATATCATATTTCATGCATTTGATTCAAGTGAATTATGAACTCCCATTTTTACCCCATATACATAAAAAACATTATTTTAATTGGACTTGTTTGCTTTGACTCAAAGAATCTGCCGTCTTAAAAGATTACTTTAAAACATGCTTAAAAAAAACCAAAAAACAAAAAACCAACACTTCTGAGACAGAGATAACCAAATTAAATAAACACTTGTGTACAGGTTGAAAGTTCCTAATCTGGAAACCCAGAATTCAAAACTGAGCATTCCAGTGCTCACCTGATAAAGTTTATGCAGATATTTCAGAATATGAAAAAAATCTGAAATTTCTAATTTTTTGGATCCCATGTAATTTTGGATAAGTGACATTCGGCCTGTACTATACTGTGTTAGGAAATAATTCTGTTGTATTTATTTTGTCATTCTGTCCTGATTAGCATGCACTGTTGTATAACTGCCGTATTTGTATCCAGTTTCAGAGCTTTTTGGTAATCTTCATACCATTGCTCAGTCACTGTACCTCAAGTACTATGCTCTTCATTGCAGGGGTCTCTCACCTGATACACCTTTGAGGATTCGCCAGGCATTGTAAATAGACCAAGAACTAGGAGCTTGTAGTCTCGTAGGAGAGATGGATGAGAAGAAAGCTGAAATATAGTGGCTTTACTAGAGCTATAGACAAAGGCTTATAGAAAGGCAGGCCCTTTTATTGGCTTTTAATATTTTCTTGATTTCAGATTCCTCCATTAAGGGTCTATAATTAGGAAATGATTTAGGAAAGAATATGAATTTTGTAGGTCATGTTGTAGTCAAGTGAAAACTAAAATAGCAATCAGGAAATATAGTATAGGGATCTTTACTGAAGAACAAATAAGGTGTTCAGTATGATGGTTATTGTCTAGGTAGTATGATCAAGTAACCAGACATTCTGTATTGGTAAATTTTGTTCTTATTTATACACCAAGTATTTGTTGAACATTTCTTCTGTGTCTAAATATTGAAAAAAGAAGTGAGATACATACTCTGTGGAGAGATTAAAATAATGAAACACATGAAGCAGATACCAGGGTTGCAATTTGAATGCTTGGAAGGGCCAGGTCTGTGAGGTAAGGTAGATTTGTGGTGAGGTGGAAAAGGGGTGTGGCCAGGACTGTAGGGTAAGGAGAGTATGTGTCCCAATTTGACTTCTCCCTCCTCCCATTTCCACTTTGCTAGATCTTTCCATTTTTTAAAGAACAAGGCAGCCAATTGGCAATCTAAAAAAATTATTTTCCAAACTCTGTTACTGAGTTCAGAGAAGGGAGAAGACAATTTGAAGTTTAAGAAGGCTAAGGCTTTGTTACTATAATTGGTTTTTCTGGTGTTGAAGAAAATATATAGATATTATTGTAATTAGAGATGAAAGGCAAAGATTTCTTGGATGGATTTTAGCTCTTGCAGAGCTGGGGAGAGTGTGAGCAGGTTGGGGGCCTGTGCAGCTGCTGCAGACTCCATCAGAATAGCCCCACTCCTGTGGTCAGAGCAGACAAGGGGATGCAGACCTCAGGGCCCGTGGAGTGGGGACCTAGTTAGTTTTTTTTTTTTAATCACATCTGTGGAATTTCATTTCTGTTGAAGGGGTGGATCTGTTAAAACTCATTGAATGCTTACCTATTATGTACATTACATTAATTTTATTAATAAAAATAATATTTATATATACAAGGCATCATGCTAAATTTTTTTTGTTTTTTACACTCAGGAAATTAAAATGATCATTCTCATCCCCATTTTTTATTTGAGGAGACTGAGATGTAGAAACAGAAGTGGTGGAGCCAGGATTTGAAACTAGGCAGTAGAGCCCACACTCTTGGTACCATGCCATACTGCCTTAGTCTGTCCTGAAATAGGAGGCTTGACCTAGTTAATATAAGTATATAAATAATTTTTAATATTTAAAATGTCAGACACTGTTCTAAAAACTATAGACGTTTAAATATAACTATTTTTTGTTCAATAGAAGCCAGAGAGAGGATTTAGCACCATGAGTTATATGGTTGATATTCAGAAAAATTATCTTTTTTGAAACTACAACCATCAATCTAATAGAAAAGTCATCAGAAAATTTGGATGTGGTTTCCTTATGTCTGATAATGGCTCAGGCAAGGCATCATTTAACTTGTCACTGCCATGTCAAACTGCATAGGGCAGCAGTATCTAAAATCTCACAGATGGTTCCAGAATTGTTAGACTGATTCAGTGAGTGATTTGTGCATAACATATCACTTGGTAAGGAGTTTAGTGTATTTGGAGAATATTTAAATATGGTTTTAATTTGTGTGTGTTTACATACTATAGGCACTGTTATCTTGGTTGTAAACTGTTTTGAACAGTACACCCAGGCACATTGATTACTTTCCACGGATTTACTTTGTAAGGAACATCATTGTTTTAAAGATACAGGGGGAGACTGGTGATGGCTCCAGATGAGTGAGAAGAAAATCAATATCAGATTTATTGTTTCATCTCTGAGCTGGCAGAACCAGGGATGCTGTTGCAATGTCTGGATCAACACGTGATGTCAGGACAGGGACTATGGCTTAGAGCAACAGCTCTTGTGTAGCATATGTGAGAACTTGGGTTTAATCTCTAGCACCACAAAACAAAACAGAAAAACATACATGATTTCATCTACCTCGTGGGGAAGGCATGTTGATAACTCTCAATTCCCTAAGGCAGCACATTGAACAGCTCAGTGGAAGGAAGATCAAATTTCAGTGTGGGGCACACTGCCACTAGATTTTGAATTCTGAAGAGGTCAGAACCTGTTCTTTTCCAGAAAGGAGGAGTAATAATTCTCTGATTCTATTTTTCAGTGCCGCTTGAGGGACATGACATATTCTGCCCCCATTACAGTGGATATTGAATACACCCGAGGCAGCCAGAGGATCATCCGCAATGCCTTACCCATTGGCAGGTAAGAAATGAAGCCCATACTGCAGCCACACTGCCTCAATTCCAGACTTATGATGTGACCTTGAATAAGTTCTAAAGTTTTTGTTTGTTTTCCTTCATTTCCTTGTCTGAAATATGTAGGAAATGATACTTATTTCATTGGGTTGTTTTTTGGATCTGATGAGCCAACACTTGTAAGGCATGTACAGAAATGCCTAACTTAGAATTGTGGTTGTTATTAATTGTGAAACTTTTTCTGTAAAGTTGGGGAAAATGCTTCCCTTTCCTCCTTTGCCAAGATTTTTTTTTTTTAAATTTCCTGATTAGTTTTGATTGTCTCTTGTCCTTACACTTGGTTTCTCTGCGTTATTCTGAGTAACTGCATTCATGATACATTTATCATGAGTGAGGAGTTGTTGTCATTTCTGACTTTCACTAAAATCAGTATGCACAATTTAAGCTAAATGTTTGAGATTTTATTTTCTATGCTAGAAAAGTAGTACCCTGAGAAAATTCTTTGTTTCTTGTGTCTCTTTCATATAATATTGTTCCTTTGCCTTTCTAACAGAGTGCACAGAAATGCAGAACCCTTAGTGATGTGTGCACTGCACGTATTGTCTTCTTTGCAACTTTTGCCAGTGACTGTTTGAACATGTTATTTTCTTTTTTTTTTTTTTTAATTTTGAACAGGATGCCCATAATGTTGCGAAGTTCAAATTGTGTTCTTACAGGGAAAACACCAGCAGAATTTGCCAAACTAAATGAATGTCCTTTAGACCCAGGTATGTGCAATAGCTTGGATTTACCCCCTTTCATTTTTTTTTCTTTGTTCTGATGTAGCTGTCGTTTAACATTTTCCTTAAAACAATATCAGCCTTTCTGCCTTATAATGAACAATATTGTATAAAACTGTGTTCACAAAACATCTGAAAATTTGGCTCCAGCTTTATTCTCTTAGTCTATATTTCTAAAAATATGCTGTTTCCTGTTTTGAGTTAGATTTGAAATTTTAACACCCCAAGTTCTGACTTACTTCCATGGTTCATTAGTCTCTGCTTTTTATGCATGCTCAATGTTTTCTTTGGGGATGCTTAAAATTCAAGAGTAATTGACCCAAGTTACTTGTCTAGCCTGGTTTAAAGTGGCTCACTTTAGTCTGTTGTAAGTACAGCAAAGGAGGGAAAAATTGGAAGTCTTTTTAGTTGTTGTTTAAATTTTAAAAATTATATATGTATTTATTTTTAGGCAGTTTCTTTGGTGAAGTTTCAAAATGTAACACATAACAGAAAATCGTCTTAATACCTTAGTTCACATTTAACACTGACTTATTTTAATTTATAGTCACTTTAAGTCCTATATAGTTGCATTGATGTGGAATCCTAGAAGTTTTTGGAAGAAAGTTCATAGAACATGATTTTACTAGACTAACAAAATGTTTCATAAGTCAAATGTGCTGCCTTGTTTCACTTATATTCTGCAGGAGAATTGAAGTCTTGATCTACTCTGAATTGTGTGCAAAAAAATAAAGTGTAATGTTATGAGTTTTTCTAAATAGGTTATCTAGGAAACCTAATCTTAGTCTACTATAGTCACTGATTTGTTAGAAAACTTGGAATAAATTTCAGTTTATGTTGAAGACTGTTTGTTACTTTTGTGCTTAAGGAATCTGAAGTTTAATTTAGTGTCTTTCTTTTTTCATTTACATGCTCTATGTGTCAGGGGATGGTAATATGGACACCAACAGGATATAGCGTATGTCTTTAAGAAGGGTATTATCTTGCGACTCATTTGTATGAAATCATGTGCTGACACTGTCATTCATCCAACATAAAACAGTATCGGCAGCACCTTCAGGTTAAATGATCACCAGTGCCACAGAGCATTGGAGATGTGATCTCTAATCAGGAGATCCTACACTGTTCAGTCACATTAGCTGAAGAAAAGATGGTAAAACTTTCCTTGTTTCCTCTGGACAGGTGGCTACTTCATTGTTAAAGGAGTTGAAAAAGTCATTCTTATCCAAGAACAACTGTCTAAGAACAGAATCATCGTGGAGGCAGATAGGAAAGGGGCTGTGGGAGCTTCTGTTACCAGGTATGGGAAGCAGAGATAGTGCTGTTCAGGTATGTTGATATTCCAGGTGGCTGTCGTCCTCTATGGAGACTGTCAGTGTTTCTCTTGATAGCAGATATTATGATTTTGAAATTATCTGCATTCAATTTACTGTGTAAGTCTCTAATTTATAGGGTATTGATTGATTGTTTTGGATACTGGGAATTGAACCTAGGTGCACTCAACCACTGAGCTACATCCTGAGCACTTTTAATTTTATTTACTTACTTTTTGAGACAGGGTCTTTCTAAGTTACTTAATGCCTTGCTAAGATGCTGAGGCTGGTCTTGAGATTGTCATCCTCCTGCCTCAGCCTTCTCAGTCACTTGGATTTCAGGTGTGTGTCACCACACCCAGGTAGGATATTGATTTTAAAATTTCAATGATGAGTATGTGAGACAGCATTTGAAATGTGACTATTTAAGTTGGATTTTCTATTAATCTATAGCATAAAATGAACTTGTATAAAATAAAACATAACAAAAGTACTCCAGTTTTTCATGCTTATTTTCATTCTGACCATTTATATGTATATTCCTTCATTCTTATAGGCAGAGGCCATTTTATATTCATTATATAATGAATTACATCACAAACTTAATTTTCTAGACTAGCCTCATTTACAATGTATTTGTTTTGTACAAAACCATTTCTTATATCATTTATGTAACCTCTTTTCTGTGTTTTATTCATGTCTTCACTTTTCTCTCTGATAGAAAGGCAGCTAACAGTAATGATAGTTTATCGAGCACTTACTAGCAGCTAGGAAGTATCTTAAGTACTTTAGTTTTATTTGTCACTGCAACTCTTCACGATTAAATGGTACCACCTCCATTTTATAGATGAGTAATAAGCCCAGAGCTCACCTTGGTTGTAAGAAGTAGCCATCATTTGAACCCAGATATAATAATTCTACAACCTACATCTTTCCACTATATACAGTTTTGGAGCCAGTCTGGATTTGAATCCCACAAGTGCATTTCTGACTGATACTGAAGAGGGCAGTTACTTAGATTCGTTTTCTAGGACAGCACTTCTAAATAAGTTATTATGTAAAAGATTAGTGAGTCGTGGTGCATAGTATGTTGTAGGTAATGAGTATGTTATACTATTGTGGTTGAATAGAGCTTCCAAATGCTTTTAAATTCATTAAGAATTTTAAAACTAAAAGAGGTAGTACTAGAAGGAGATTACTTAGTGTTTTTGTGGCTTCAGTGTATATATACCAAGACTGAAGGTGAGTCTTATTGGAGTATTAATTTAACGTCCATTTATTTCCTCTTATTTCTACTTTTTTCAATGTGGCTTTGGGCCCATTTTTAATTATTTCTTTTTTTTTTCTTTTCAGTACATGAAAATAGTCATGAATGTATGCCCTTCACTGGATAGAGTAATTCAGGTGAAGTTAAAGTGAAGTAGGTCAGGAGGTGACTGTCACTCATTTATCCACAAAGCTTCTACCATAATCTCAAAGCTAAAGAAAAATAGGTTGTTTTTTTTTTCCAAATCCCCCATACCGAAAAAAAGAAAGAAAAAAAAAAGAATTTTAGTGTTTTCAAATTAAACCTGGTTGATGGATGCTCATTATTACTACAGTTGAATGTTACTGAGTGAGGATGCAGCTTAACCAACTTGTATTTATGCATAGCTCCACCCATGAGAAGAAAAGTAGGACTAACATGGCTGTGAAGCAGGGGCGGTTTTACCTGAGGCATAACACCTTGTCTGAAGATATACCCATTGTCATCATATTTAAGGTAAGATTGCTGCTCTCTTTTGACACTAGAAAGAATTTTTTCTCTATTTTCATAGCTAATTAGAAGTTTGCAAAGTAAGGAATTCTAGGAGTAGAGGGTATGGTGACAGTCATATGATTCATCTTAAATTGAAAGTTAATAAAACTGAGGTTCATATATATTTTTAAAAATTATTTAAATATTTTATTTGAAATGTTTTAGCATGTTTAAACACCTTTTAAGGGTGTTTAAATCTTTTTTAAAAATCACACATTTAAAAAATATATCCAAAGTATAGAAGGGTTATGTAGTAATGAGTAAAAGTCTCTACCCACCCTGTACTTAGCCACACAGTCCTGCTACCCAGGGTCCCCACAGTTTCTAATTCTTGTGTGTATCTTTAAGAGATAATTTTGTTTGAAACTTACATACAGTATTTTACAATTAGCTCTTTTTCTTTTTTTCTGACTTACAGCTTGGAGATAGTCTTACATTTGTCCATGTGGACCTACTGTTATTTTTGACAAACTGCTCCATTTATGTGGGTAACATAATTTATTTGACCAATCCTCATTCAGTGGACATATACATCTCTTGTTATTACACAGCTGCTGTAATATCATGTCATGCATGAGCGCGGATATCTAAATTCCAGCAATGGAATTTTCTAGGTCAAAGAGTATAAAACTGGACATAGTGGCACATACCAAGTAAGGAATTCTAGGAGTAGAGGGGTTGGTGGCATAGATAAATTGACAGTCATATGATTCATCCATTTATAGTAGTCCTGGATGCTTGGGCACCTGAGGCAGAAGGATCACAAGCTCAAGGCCAACCTGGGCAACATAAGAAGACCCTGTTTCCAAAAAAAAAAAAAACTATGGGCCAAGTTTCTTTTCTTTTTTCTTCCCCTCCCCTCCGCCCCAGAGACTTCTAGATTCTTGTAAATTTTTGTATAAACAATTCTTTAATCAACAGCTAATTTTTTTCTAGCTTATTTATAAATTTTTGGCTTAGAACCCAAAAGATACTTACTGTAGAAATAATGTTTAAATGGAATAATTTTCTCAGATATTTGCATAATGGTCCAGAGATAACAAAACTATACATGTTCTATAAACAGCTAAATTGTAGTATTAATCCATTAAGAAAAACAAAAGGATAGTGATATAGTTTTCATGAGTTCCATGTTTGTGAATTCACATATTTTCTAAAATTTATAGCCTCACAATCAGTACTGGTGGTGCTTCTTTGGTTGTTCATGGATGTGTACATAAACAGAATAGCAAGCTATTTGAGTCACCCAGTGTACATGTTCCTGTTGAGGTAAAGAAGGAAACACTTCGCTTTCTTGTTTCAGCTCCTTTTCTAGTACACTTAATGCCATGTTTTTGTATTTTTGCTTGTGGTTTTGCTATATAAGGGACTCCCAAATATAATGCTGAAGGCATTGCTAATGTTCCTAAACACTAATGGAGAAAATATGTATGTTAACCATTTAGTCAGGCATGAGATATGGTACTTTTAACTGAGTTCATTGGTAATGTGTCAACAGTGCATTAAGTAAGGTGTTTTTAAACACAAGTATACATCAGTTGACATTCTGTATTGATCAGTTAAGAAACATGTTGTTCCTGCAGTCTTCCAGGAACCTAACCCTGTATTTTCTCCAGGAGTAACAGTCCAATATGCTAATTAAGTGTAATTCAGCAACTTTATCAATAGAACATCCATGGATAATGGACAGCTATCTGGGTATAAAATGAAACCTTGATGGCTGGCTGAATTGAAATAGCTTCGATTATTTTAGAAGATACTGGATACTTCATATAAATTTAGAAATTGATAGTATTTATTTGTCATTCATTTTTACTTTAGAATTATTACTTCTGTTTAGCAGTTATGATAGTGGAAATATATTTTGGGTCACATTAAGAAGCAACAGGAAGAGATCCTCTGAGAATGGAACTATCTAAATTGGAAAGGAAAATCAATGGGTATAATCTCTAGAGGAGTAAGAAAGAAGGGACTGAGTCTTTACTGTCAAAGGTGCCATTGGGTGACAGATATGGAAGTGTATCTTTTTTTTTAATGCTTAGTACACATTGCTAATTTTTTTCCTAGAGAATCATCTGTTAACCATCTAAGTCAAGACTTCTTCAGGTCAGATTGTGATTGGGGGATAGAGAGTGTGCCCCCTGGTGGTTCATAGTATTGAAGGGATATTGACAAGTTGGGTTATTTAACTCAGGAAACATGTCAATGCAATTATGTGGTGGGCATAGTGGCACATGCCTGTAATCTCAGAGACCCAGGAGGCTGAGACAGGTGGATCACAAGCTCAGGCCAGTCTCAGCAACTTAGCAAGGCTCTAACAACTTAGTAAGACCCTGTCTCAAAATAAAAAATTTAAAGAGCTGGGGATATAGCTCAGTGGTAAAGCACTACTGGTTTAATTCCTAGCACAAAAAAAAAAAACAAAAAACAAAAAACAAAAAAAACCCATTCAATTATGTGAAGGAAGTTCTAGAAAATTTTCTCCATATTTAATACAATTTAATGTGCTTTTGAGTTCTATAAATGAGGTGGAACCATTTATTTTCTGTTCAGGATAATGATGATAATAATCGTAATAACAGGACAATTGTAGTAGGGTCCAGAGAGAATTCTTAAAAAATATATATATATGTTTTTTCTTATTTTCTCTCTTTGAAGTTTTAATTTTTAAACACAGAAGGCATTTTTTTTTTTTTTTTGTAGGGATCCCATAGTTCCAGACACAGTGTCTTAAAGTACATAGTGATGAATAAAAACATTTTATCTAACAGTGTGGAATCACATCTCCAGCAGAGGGCAGTATGGTCCCACACATCCTGAGGGCATTTTTGAAAGTTTTAAATGCTCAAAGATATCCATCTTTGGTAGAATTGTTTTCTTATACCAGAAATTTTAAATAAAAAAATGCATTTAATCTTATATTACTGATATATAAAGTGTGTAAGGAGCAGCATGTCTGTGTAGAGATCAGAAAAAAAATATTAAGTATTTTTTTGGCTCTGTGACAAAAGTTTAATAAGTCAATTTCTTCTGTTAAATATAATATTTTATTGTAAATACATATAAATGTAATACATATAAATATTGTAAATGTTTATAGCTGACTTAAGTCCTTTTTTAGAATGGGGCTGTTGAGTTAGCATAATTATGTAAGTAGTAGTTGAGATTCCAACTTTTTCCCTTTCTGAATGCAAAACATTTCTTTTATTGTAAAGATTTAGACAGCCACTGAAAAGTATGGCTACATTTTAAAAATTTTTCCAGACTTTCCCCCCTGTGATTTTTGTAATATACACACAGTGTTTTTAAATAAATGAATTGTTTTTAAATAAATAAACTATTCACAAATAGTTTCCCATGTCTATAAATATGAATATGTGCTATCATTTTTAATATATGTGTGTATAAGTTGCAAATATGGTATAATTTATTTTACCAATTTCCTATTGTGGGACATTTAGGTATCATTTTTTTTTCTCAAGTTTTTTCACCCTGGGATGACTCTCAAGATTATACATGTTTATGCACATTGCTGATATTTTGTGAGACTTTAGTTCTGGATATGGAAGTGTATCTTTTTTTTTAATGCTTAGTACACATTGCTAATTTTTTTCCTAGAGAATCATCTGTTAACCATCTAAGTAGTGCATAAATCTTAAAATTTTTAAAATGTTAGTTCATATAAATGAACTAAATTTGGTCATAAGTAGTCACTTTTTTTGATCTTTTTCACTCTAGGGATGTTTTAATAAATGGATGGGAATTTGTTGATAACCACTGTTCAGACTTTTCCAGCTGAGAAGCAGCATCGAGTATTAGACAGCTTCTCCACTTTCTAGCTATGTGACCTTGGGCAGATTTCCCAGTCTCTTTGAGTCCTGGAGACTTCACCTCTGGGGTGGTTGTGAAGCTCAGATGAGATCATGTAGTTTTTGAAAACAGAGTGCCTGGAAAGAGGATACGCTTTCCCTTTCCTTGCTTCTTCCTACCCACTTACTGTCAGAAGCTGAGAAAAAAAAGTGGGATGCCAGAAAAGGGACATCATTTCTCTTTTTGTGTTGTGTGGCCGTAACACAGACCTTGACAGTCATTAGGACTTGATGGTTGTTGTTTGTAACCAACAATTGGCTAAAAGTGACAGAAACAGCAGGGCTTCCAGATTCCATGCTGAGTCTGAATATGACGGATAAAGCTTTTAAGACCTAGATCAGTCTTATTTATGGACTTAAATTACTGCAAAGGTTTTCCTGCCCATGAATCTTCCCTGCTTTCTGTTTTGTACTCCCAAGCATTGGGTAGTTGACTATGGGGGCATCTGTAGGAAAGTTTTTCTGAAGAAGAGGATCCAATTTCAGAGATGCTGAGCATTGTTTCTTGGAAACCAACTTGCATGGAAATATTTTATCTTTGAAGAGAAACAGTTGTATAATTAAAGAGGGCCATCACAGATTTATTATCTGCTAGGACTACTCTGAGTAATAATTGGTGGACTTTAGTTACTTTAAAGAAAAATCTGAGATTTCTGAATATTAGATATTTTAACAAATTCTCTCCTGTTTTCAAATAAAAATTTCAACGAATCACCATTGGTGCACATGTCATTCTCTTCTGCTCATTAGTTTTCTTTTTCTTCTTGACTTTGTGTATCTGTGGATATCCAAGGAGAGGACTTCATGCCATTTTAAAAATCCCCCTGATTTTGTTTAGCATCATTGCTGGTTGCTAGACTGCGTGACCTTCTGATGAAATGTATTCTCTCTGCTAATTTTTTATATAGTATTTCGTAACATTTATTTTTGACTTATTAGTTTAGTGGAAATGATTTCAGGTTATCTGGAGTACAAAGAGTTCCAGATAAAGGTAGTTTTCAGATGTCTAAATTACGTCTGTAAGGCAAAATTGTTGGACATATTGTTCGTTTCCATAGCAATGTATCATTTATTTGTAGCTAACTACTGAAGGCTAAATAGTCATAAGGTCAGTTCTATCTTTGGAGCTGAGGTGCTTTTTAAAATGTTTTTAAATGTTTATTTTTCAATTGTATTTAGACATAATACCATTATTTTATTTATTTATTTTTATGTGGTGCTGAGGATTGAACCCAGGGCCTCACACATGCTAAAGTGAGCGTTTTACCACTGAGCCACAACTCCAGCCCCACTGGAGCACTTTTGATGATAACTTAAATGGTTATTGCACCTGAATTTCAGTGGGTTGATACAGGAAGACTTTTGTACTTTGTGGGAAAGCTTTGGCAGTATAATCACGCTTTCCACACATATTCTGTCACTTACATGAGTACTGTATACCTTTGTTTCATGGCTTAGACATATTTGGAAGGCCTAAGAAGTCCATGTTATACCACTTGAGAATTTTATGCAGTTACTTAGATTTAACATCAGGACAATTTAAAGTGGCAATCCAACTATCAAATGAAGAAGGTGTTTTTTTTCTTTCCCCATTATTATTGAACACCAAAATAGGCAATCAAATTTATACTCTTTTTTTAAAGAGAGAGAGAAAGAGAGAGAATTTTTTAATATTTATTTTTTAGTTTTCAGTGAACACAACGTACTTATTTTATTTTTATGTGGTGCTGAGAATCGAACCTAGTGCCCCACACATGCCAGGCAAGCGTGCTACCACTTGAGCCACATCCCCAGCCCTCGAATTTATACTTTTTAAACTTGGATATTACTGAAATAAAAAATGCTAAAATAATGTAAATGATGGTATGATGCAAATCATGTACAACCAGAGAAATGAAAAGTTATGCTGCATTTGTGTACAATGAATCAAAATGCATTCTGCTGTCATATATACCTAATTAGAATAAATGAATAAATAAATAAATAATGTAGGTGGCTTTTAGTTCACATGATTTAGATATTAATAAACCTAAAGAAAGTGGAAGTAATCTAGAAAGGTCTTTCTATTTCAGTTCAAGATTCTATTTCTGCCTCAGACCTTTTCTTGCTATGTGATTTTGCATGTTCTGTTTAGTATCTATCCTGTATAGGTATCTGTTCATTTTGGGGCTTTCCTCTCAAAAGTGCATTGGTTAAGTTTTACAGCAAAGATTTTAGAGAAACATGAATGGATTCCACCACAGATAGTTACCTTAGCATTGTTTTTCTTATATTTGAATTTCATTGAAACCCTTAAAACATTATTTTGAGAGACAAGTAAAAATTAACCTACACTCTATGCAGCTTTTCATAGAGAAAAATTCTTTCCTAATACTTGTGACTGGCTATTTGCAGACTGAGGACAAAGTATAGATGATTCTGTTACCATCAAAGTAGATTCAACTCATTGTGCTTAAGCTAAAAATAACCTAGTTTTTGTTTGTTTAAAAAAATAGAATTGATCTTTTTTTAGAATTGCTATCCTTTAAAAAGAAAGACTTAACTATTACTTTAATAAATTTGTGTTATTTTCAAATAGTGTGGTTTATCTCTAGTTTCATTTTGAATCAATACTTTATATCAAATCACAGGTTAAAACGCACACACAAAATTAAAAAGCGCAGAAAAGCTATTTGTGTCCTGAAAATTTCTTTGTTTATAAAACAAACAAAATTTAACAAATTAAATTAAAAATTTAAAAATTTTTAAGAATTCAAATAGCATATTTAATTCCAAAAGTTGTTGTATTAGTTGTCTGTGCTTTTGTAATTATTATAGTTTCTGTCGGTCAGGAATTTGAGGATTGCTTGACTGAGTAGTTCTGGTCATCCCAGCCACAGCTGAGCTGGGCTGCTTCCTTTGGGGCTCATCGATAGGCCAGTTGGGAGAAAGCCTCAGTCTTACTGTCAGTCAGTCAGAAGTTGTGGTCCCTCCCTACTAACTCTTCCCACAGACTGCTCTATTGTCTTCTTGATTGTGGCAGCTAGAGCAAGGAGGAAGTGACCTGCCTTTTATACCCCAAACCTCTAAAGTTGTATATGCTGGTTCCTCATGTCAATTTAGCATTCCCCCAGATCTTCAGAATTTTCGGGAACTTTACATCTGAAGGTAAAATGAAAACTCTAGGGTGGGAGAAGGTGTGTGACTGTAGTAGTTGGGGTGTCTTTCTGCAGCTGGTGTTCTGTTAGGACAGTCACTTCTGACCTTGGGTATGTTGGATGGATGCTCTTTCATTTGTACTGAGGGTAGTGCCCTTGCTGTTCTGCATTGGGACTTGGGATTCGGTTTTCCTTTCTCTCCTTTGTGTGGAGGAGAACTGAGAATTAGATGGTCAAAACTTGACTGAACAATTATCTTCAGTTGTGTCTTTTTTGGTTCTGTCTTGTCTGCAAAGCTAAAGGAAGAGTTATAATGGAAATATAACTTTTCCCCTAACTTCTAAGAGACAGATTATTACTCTGCCAAGAGAGGTTTTGTGGATTATGCTGTTTCTCACCATGGCAGAGTTCCAGGTGACCGTGTGAAGAAGTAGGCTCTAGGACCATATGGGAACTACAGAAACTTGTATAGCTGTGCCACCTTGAAACGCTTTAGTGGATTTCTTCGACCTGTTAAGGGTGTTCCTAGTTTTTAAACATCTCTTTTAAGACCTGTATAAACTATGGTTTGAAATCTCTAGAATTCTGAGGTAAAACATCTGCATTTGTTAGGAAAATTATTTTTGCCTGATAAGAGTGATTTGATGAGTCTCAGAAAAATTCATTTTGTGACAAAACTAATTGTGGTTCTGCATATTTTCAGCGGTTAACATTTTGAGGTTCACTATCCTATGGCTATTTTTCTTTTTAGTTTGCCTTTGTAATTGTGACCAGTCCTCTCCACTATACCTCTTGCTCTCCTTTTTTCATTAAGAAACTCTTAATATATTTGAAAATTTTAGAAGGTGGTACACATGCAAAAGATGCTTGAGAATGTTTTCTCTTCCTAATCAAAATTTCTGTTTCAGGTTCTTCTTGCAGCTTGGGCAATGGCTGCCAATGCCAGATGGCACTGTTTCTGAGAGAAGAGCTAGCTTTTGCTTAGAAGTAATACCCACAAACAATGCCAAATTAGCATAAGCAAATGTCAGTGAGTTAACACAAAGCCAACACTCTTTCCATCTTTTCTTTCCTTCCTAGGCCATGGGTGTTGAAAGTGACCAGGAAATTGTGCAGATGATTGGAACAGAGGAGCACGTGATGGCTGCATTTGGGCCCAGTTTGGAGGAGTGCCAGAAAGCTCAGATTTTCACACAGATGCAGGTGTGTCCTTTCATGATGTCCTTTGCTGCAAATTGTAACTAGAACTTTAATGTGGTTCATTGATAAGGCATCAGATGCAATGGCCTGATGATAGATTTGGGAAGGGTGTTGGGGAGATGGGAGGAGTGGTAAAGAAGTTTCTTTGATGCAATTTTTTAGAGATTGAAGGAAGACTTCTTCATTCGGTCTAGACAGATTGTCAGCCTGTGGTATCTAATTCAGAAGGGAGATATATCCCCAAGAGACTTTTGTTCTGATAAAATGGCCCATATTATTTTTTCCCTTATTTACTTGAGTGATAATTTTTTTAAAAAACTATAGCAATT